AAGGCAAGATAAAGTAATGGATTTATAATGCAGTGTGAATAACAAATGTCTCAGATATTCTATCGCAAGATGGAAAACTCTGATGGAATCTGTGAATCTTTCTGAGTTATTTTCTGAAATGTGTTACTAACAAGTCAGTTCAATTTGGATACAAGAATTCAGAAAGCAACTCCTAGCACTTTAGCTGAACTATCATCCATCAAACTCTCCTTAAAAATATCTGTGAATCTGCTCTAAACTGTCCTCAGCCCACAAGTACTTAGGACAAAATCCTTCAAGGCTTTCAATAAACTGCCCCAATCTACAGTTCCAGGTCTATCTTCCCCTGCCTTACCCATTTCACAATTATTGCATTTTGTACAAAATCATTCAAGTGTGCACATATGTTCGTGCATGCGCGCGTGCACACACATGCTCTCACACACACACACACACACACACACACACACACACACTAAAGCAAATCTACATTTGATCAGTTTCCAAGCAGTTTAAAAGATTGAAAGTGAAAAATATTAGGCTATATTAGACATTCTTCCCAGGGATGTGCCCCTTGGATCTGCGAGTTTAAGCTGTTGCTAACCTCACAATGTCCAACTTCCACTACTTCCAAACCCTCTCTAAACTGTTTCAGAACAAATCTCCAATGTCATCAACACACCTGGGTGGCCCAAGAGCACATGTGCACTTCCCAGATTATTTGTCCAGTGGTTGAAAACGGAGAACTGGAGTTCTGGAATGAGTGGTCATTCTTGGTAATCCAGGTGTTTGTACGTCAAGGCCTGCATGTCAGTACAATAGCACTAAATCCATTTCACTACTGAAGATACACATTTCCCACTTACAGTCCCTCAAAGTAAAATTTGAAAAAAAAAAAAAGGAAAAGGAAGTGATCAGATATTAAATATTAAATTTCTGCAAGGGGAAAATCATATATAAAAATAATCTCCAGCAGTGATGGCTTAGTCAGAATACCAAAAGAAAGATTTTTATATTTAGCACTCCTCCCCAAAAAAGAAAATCTAAATTGTCTTTAGAGGAACTTTGTAGGACTCCTTTACATTTATTTTATGGGTTAATTTCTGTCTTTGAATTAAATATGGGTTTGAGAATGAAGGAAAAAAATATTTTCAGTATATATGACTTCTCAAGTGATAAAATCCTCATATTTATAATTTGTTTCTTAATATTTATGCATTTCACTTCAAGTTTTGAATTTAAATTTGTGTCCGTCTCAGATTCTTAGAAGATTGGTTATAAGATGATTAGACTTCACAATTAAAACTATATAATTGAATATATTACACAAGCATATTTATACCAAAATAACAAGTTATAGTTTACACTATATTAACTCTGAATCACTTTAAATATATGATGTATTTCAAGATGTAATTTAGTATTGTTTGGTAATGTAATGATCAAAGCACAGAAGGGAGACTCAGCTTCCTGACAAGGCTGATAACAAGCCCTTTATACATCCAACCTGACCAAAATAGCAGCTCATCTCAGCAGCAATCTTCTTCTTGTGAGCATAGTTTGAAACATATACACTAAAAACCGTATCAATTTTTACATGGCTACTGATGGAGGTCAGCATATTGTGTTAGCGATTTTCTGTGGTATCGCATTAGTCTCATTGCGGTAGCCATATCACATTAAAATCTGCTTTTCTTTTTTTTTTGCTAAATGGTTTCCATTGTGTATTTAGTGAATCCGATATGGAAAATTGCTAATGCAATTAGTCTCATAAGCTTTCCTGACCGTAATGCTCAGCCACAATATTCAGAAGAAGGTTCAACTAGTCTAGAGGGGTTTCAGGCCAAGCTCGCCACAGCCTCCGAACAAGTTCAATGCCGGCTTCTTGGAAGATGGACCATTAAGACCTACTGTACGAGGGAAATTCCTTCGCAGATTTTATTTCAGAAGAGACCATGGGTTCAATGAAAAATGTGTTATGTAATAATCATTGACCGCGCACTATGCAGGGCATCATAGTTGGCACCAAGGGAATAAAAAGACAAATGAAACACGTCCCTCCCTTCTCACATTCTGAAAGGATCACTTGTAGCAGATAAATAAATCCTCACTTGTAGAGCATATGAGTGACAATACAACAAGAACTATGGCAAGAGTGGGAAATGCAAAGAGTCACAGGAGCTCAAAGAAGGACATGCCTTTGGCCAGGGTCATCAGAGAAAGGTCTGTGAAGGCAGCACCTGGACGATGAGAAAGACGCTAGGTCGGAGGATCTGGTGAGAGGTGGCCAGGCAGTGAAAGGCCTAGTTCTGGGCCTCAGCATGAGTACAGGTGCAGAGGAGAGGAAAGCCATATTAAAATTTGGAATATTAAAATTCACACTTTAATTGCAGCGTAAAATATGGAAGGAAAGCAGAAAGACAAGCCTGGAAAAGTGGTCTGGATCAGCCTGAGGAAGAGGGCCAAGGAGAGCAGTATGCGATACTCAGGATGGGTCTGGGAGAAGGGCTGGGGTGCAGCCCACCCCGAGATTAACCTCAGCTCTCACAGGTATGATGGTGCCTAATGCTAATGAGTATCTTGAAACCTCAACGACTTTAGTTAGTACATGTTTCTTAAGATACATAAGTTACAGAAATATTTATTTTAAAAGGTAAATTTATCGCCAAGTGGTATTTGTTTATTTTTTGTTATGTCCCTACTCATGACGTTAACATTCACTGGGTTAAGAGAAAAAAAAAATCACTAAAGTGCTCATACTGTTATAACTACTTATGAATTTACTGTTTGCTTTTTTTTAGAATAACTTTTCAACTTACTAGCAACAGTTACCAAGGAAATATAAATCCAACAGCCTAGACTTACAACTATTAGAAGAGATCATGCTTTCAATATGCTGCTATATTTACTGTTTTATTCTGGACACTTTCCTGTTTCTGAATTCCTCTCTAAATGTTACAAGCAATACGCAGAAAATCTGTACTAAGCCTCATTAGAGCTTTATAATTTAATGTAGTATGTTTTGCAAGTTTTAAAAAAACTTTCTTTTTCATCATCTTTACCCTCCCTTAAATCAGATTACATTCTGTGGATAAGTATTATTTTGAACATATTAAGGCAGCATATGATGAAACTGCCGTTCTATTTATTGCAGAGGGAATGTCGGATATAAACCAGTTAGCTGCCTAAGTGCTTAGAGTGACCACTTATTAAACACTTCTCTCCACTTTGGAAATGGAATTTGTGCTCTCGTTAATCAGAATTAAAGCTATTTGTAAAAATAAAATTAAATATTTTAATCTTTATGAAATAATTTCCTGACAGATTTTTCCCCTCTAACTGATCACACAATTAGAAAGGATCAAGAAGTTTACCAATGGTTTATTACTTATAGATATCCTTGGCAATATTTCATTAAAAAGAAAACTCTTCTTTTTCTTTCCTATCTTGGGTAATCAGAGATACAGCAGTTGACATGCGTGAATATTTTAACTGAGGATACATAAGTAAAAGAAAAAGACTTTAAGAGGAGAAAAGTCAAATAACTTATGCTGACTTTAAAATATTAATGAGAAAGGTGTGAGAATTGTGAAGTACTTAGGGGTTTCGCCTAAAGTTTGTTTATATCTTTGATTTTTAGTACACACTGTGCTGATAAAAAATGAGTTTGCTCAGATCAAGAATATGCTGACATTTTCTTAAACATAGCTTGAAACCACAGAGCTAAAGCATAAAACAATTCTGACAAAGATATCCAGTCAAGCACAAAAATGGGAGCTGGCTGTGTCAGAATAGATTAAGAGGCCAAAGGCTGTCTGCTAAAGACAGTTAGTTGTCTAGCCATCAATTAAGGCAATTATTATCACTAAAAGTTATTTTTATTATTTGAAACTTCTGTCATATCATATTTAAAAATGCTCCTTATATATAAACCATTACATCATTGTCTTATCTGCAGTGTTCTTCTTGGATAACCACAAACTTGAAAGCAGTCCAAAATCTTGTTCCTGGTTTCCTACAAGCATAGGAAAAATCACTTATTGAATTGTCTATTTGGAGTTAGGAGAATGGGGTTTACTTTTACTTCCTTTTTAAATATAGATCACTATTTCAAAAATGTAAACATCTGATGGCTTCCCTCACAATGACAGGAATCCTAAGTCAGAACAGAAGCCTGTAGTATTAACATTTCACTCACCCAGAAGGATACCCCAAAGGCTCTGTTCAGTTATGGCCAAGGAGGTAGCACTGATAAATGCCTCAGGACTTTCAAGTTATCCTCTATTATTCCTGCTAGACCACACTTCCAAAAGGTCATCCAAGAAATCAGGCAAGGCACTGAAACGGTACTTGTAAGTTGGATTCATTAAAAAGCAATCCACACTCTCCTGAGGGTGTGGACCTGATCGTGAATTACTCAGTAAAGAATTCACATGCAATTTTATTCCAAAACTAGGTTTACACCATTTGTAGGTTATTTCTCAGGAGTACCAGTTCTAGCCCAGAAAAAAGTCAACAGAGTATTTCTAAACTATCATTTCAAATTTCCACTGTCAAGGGTGGGAGGAGGAAGGCACAGTAACAGGAAGGCTCGTCAGCGATCAGTCCTCCATAGAAGTGTTTTTCCCGCTTTCCTCCTTGCGATCACAATGCTGGCGTCAGTCAGTCTCCTGCATGGGTTCCCCACCTCGCCCCCTCCCCTCTGCGGAGAACTGACACCGAATGAAGAAAGAAAGACAAGCGAAGAAAAAGACAAACACCCCAGCTCCCAACACAACCCAAGCGCCAACTCGGAGACACTCGAACAACATCCCTAACTTTCTATTTTTTTCCCCTTCACTTTGCGTGCCTCAAAGGTAAGCAGAGTAAAAAGCCTGTGAAGCGGAAGGTCAGTGAGGCCAACCGAGTCACGACACACACCCCCCTCCCGCCCCATCGCTCCAGTGTTGTCCCCCTACTCCGGTCACTGCAAACGCGCACTCAGCTCCGAGTCTGGGTCCCTGTGGCGCGGGTCCTGGGTGCCCGGCCCGCGCACACTGCCCAGTCCGCGGGGGGAAGGGAGGAGAGGGGCGGA